ATGTTTTAAAACATGATTTAAAACAATTCAAAAATCATTAAAAATCATTAAAAAACGTTTTTTTGCCATCCCTATACATAGGTCAAAAATGCGAGATGCAGATGGTTGAAACTCTATTGAAATTGCTAAATACATATTGAAACTTTATTTTTATTGAAATTGTTAAAACCGGAAAATTTATTTTTAATTTATACATCATCTCTATTCCTGGTAGATTTCATGCACCATATGACTACTTGTTTTACTTGTTTGACAATTTACAAACTTTTTAGGATGGCTCAGCTAAAATACGTTCCATATTGCTTTGTTTTATACCATATATAAAATATATATATAGTTAAGACCATAAATCATCTTTGTGGCAATACGGGAATTAAATTCCGCAAATATCGAAAATTTACCAATAAAATTTTAATAAAATACACCTGTTGTTCAATATATTTTTATAAATATCTTTCATCTTTCATCCATTCTGATCCAAATAAAGTTTTAATGCGATAAAAAATCATTTATTTCATCTTTATATTCAGAGTAACTTTATCAAACGAGTCTTAATTAAAATGTACAAATTTAATAACAACGCTTCAAGAAATCGACAATCATATACTAGAATTGATGACGTTGATGCTTATCGAAAATTTATTAACGAATCACAAAAACTGGTATAAATTAATAATTCTTAATTTTAAAAGTTGTCACATTAACGTTAAATTAAAATGTTAATCATTTCAAAATTTAGAGTGTAGTATTTTTCCACGCAACATATTGTATTTATAGCGAAATTGTTATATCAGCTTTTGAAGAATTGAGTTCAAGATATGAAGAACATGCAAGATTTGCATTGGTAAGATTTGAACATATAGAATTTATTACTGTAAATATTTTTACTAAACATGCAATTTAATTTTTATCAGGTTGTTCATGAAAATGCACCGAGTGTTGCAGAAGAAGCTCTAATAAACGCTTTGTAAGTGAAGTTAATATTCTGAATTTTTATTTTGAATAATTGATTTATATACGCAAATTAGTAAACTTTAGTTTATTTTTACATTAGTCCAACTTTTCTATTTTTCAAGAATGGAGTGGAAATTGAAAGGCTCGTTGGTGCTAATAGAACTAAAATGATAAGACTTCTTCTAAAACATATTAAAATACCCAGAGAAAGTGAAGAAAATGATTCAAATTCACTAGTATGTAAATTTCTTTCATTACACTATTGCGGGAAATTTTATTTACAAATTGTATTGAACATATAAAATATTGAGAAATAAGATAGTAGTGATATAAATATGAAAATTTTTAATTAATTACAGTCAATTCTGGATATAACAAACGTTTTATAATGAAACAATTCTATAACGAACTTGTTTTAATCAAATTGTTATAATGTTCAGTATAAAAAAAAAACAGCAAATCTTCTATAAAAGCTTTTTGAAAATTTTACATGTAGATCATACGGTTCATTATATCCAGAATCGACAGTATTTGTTATCAATAGTCTGTTAATAGTTTAATTTTTTAATATTTATATATATTTCAGATAAAGGTAAATAAATTTATCAAGCGCACACAAGTAGAATGTCTTAATCAGCACTTTAGTCAGCAGGAAGAGCATATCCAAGGCCTTTTTATAAATGATGACACGTATCTAAAATCAAATGTTGGAGCAGAACTTATTATTTCCATTCCGTTTAATCAACCTATCGATCTTCATTCAATAAAAATTGTTCCTGAAAATATTGGTAAGTAATATTTTATTTTGATCCTATATAAAGCTTACTATGTAAATAATAATGATTTAATAATGATTTATTTTTATTAGACCACGCTCCCAAGGAAGTAAAAATTTTTATTAACAGACCGATTATATTAAGTTTTGATGATGCCGAAACAATCAAAGCAACTCAGATGCTAGAATTTATTAGAGCTGATTATGAGAATAACACAATGATTCCTTTGAAATCGGTTAAATTCCAAAAAGTAACCAATATTGTTGTATGTAATTTAACACTTATTTTCGATTCTCTAAATCTTTACCATTGATATTAACATAGTTAACAATTCGTCATTAGATATACATCAAAAATAATCTTGGTAATGAGGAAACTACTATTATTAAAGAATTAATGTTTTACGGGTAAAATGATATTTCATTTTATTATTCTATTACAGTATTAAACTTACTTTATACTTACATTATACTCAAAATTTATTAAAGATTTCCTGTATATGGGCTAGTAGGAAACATCTTCTATCTCCGTGAATAACTGAAAAAATTCGCAATCTCACAAATACTATACATGAATTCGAAGTTACAATTTGGATGTTTAGGTGATTTACGACATATAGCGATAAGGCCGCGCAAAGTCGATTTTTCGTTTTGTATTACATGGTTTTCAAAATTTCGGTCGGCGGGCGGATTTTTTTTTTTTTTTTTTTTTTTTTTTTTTTAATCTAAATT